GCCCTTCCTTGCCAGTGTTTCCAAAGGCAACAAAGGCCCTCAGAGGACACCCTACAAGTTCATAAATTATTCTGTTGCTTGAGCCTGGCATTTATCTATGCTGTTATAAAACCGCAATGACATGAGAATATTTTAAAACCTGAAAGCAAGAAAATCAGGGAGGGGCAGTGACAATGTCTAGCCTGTGTGATTTGTCAATCACCCACAAAAGAGCTTTGCTCTTTACAACAATAAAAGAATCTACTGATTTTTAGGTGTTCTGGAGATAAGTTAAAAACATTCTAACAAGTTTCAGCTCAAACATGAAATTAAAAATATGCAATATAGTATCTCTTTTTAAAACTCAGCTCCTAGGCTTGGGCCCGCAGTTCTCAGAGTCCCTGCACTGTCCCCTGGCTATTCCACTTTAAAGCACTTCTCCTGACGCTGTCCCCAACACAAGGGCAATGTGGGTTTTATGCTGCTATACAGAAGCTTCCTGCATATCACACTTTTGAAATTTTCAATTGCATTTAAGGCCTTTAGTCTGACCCACACACCTGTGTACACATTCACTTTTATCCCCATGCACTTGATGCCCTCATCCAGAAACTAGTTTTGTTTTTTTTTTTTTTTTTTGAAGTAAACCATCTTCTTTGATAATTCCATTCTCAACACAGCAATTTTTACTAACATGATGCCCAGTGATGGGTCAAAAGAATTGCTGGTTAGTAGCCCAGTGAGGTCTGTTCTTGGCTGCACTGTCTTTCCCACCATCACCTGAGGGCTGGGACACTTCTGGGGGACCAGCCACTTCTTAGAGACAGGACAGAGACAAAATCCACAGAGGTGGTGATTTCTATTGGGCCACCTCTTGACACACTGATTTCTTACTGGCCTTTGGGGGCTAATGGCCACACTCGAAGGCATAACCAGCAATTAACCTTCACAGATTAACTTCATAGGGTGAGAACAGTAATTACATTCCCTGCCCAAAACATGGCTTAATTTTTAAACTTCCTGGCCAAAGAATGATTCAAACTAGTCATGATCATTACCTCCTGAATTATAAGCAAGAAGGTGTCAATTAGCTTCATTTCATGTTTAGCTGTAACACATAGACCCTACTCTTCTTCTCTGGCCCTGGGGTGGGATGAACATCTGTGTCTTATCCAGGAGGACAAAAAGCAGGAAAAGCTCCTGTGAAATCACTCTGGATCAGGAACTGCTTTCAAATGTGACTTAAACAAATTAACCGCAGTTTTAAACTCTGCTTTGTTCTGGCACAAAGGTATTTTAGAAAAAAATTTAAATGCATACACTTTAAATTTCCATTATTCCCAAAATGTACATTCACATATACTTGGGGGACATGCCCAAACATATCTTTTATGCAACAAACCATTCCCCTCCTCCTAAGGGACATGGTGAAATCTATTTTCATGATGGGCCTTCATTCCTCATAACATTATCCTGAGACGTCTATAAAAAACTATATCCCTTCTGACCTCCACAGCCAAGATGAATAGACAGTAATTAATCAGGAAAGAACTTAAGTCCCAATTCCCAGTCATTTTAGGGGATTTCTCACCTAGTCATAAATTTTCCCTTACATCCAAAGGAAGGGAAAAGGTACTCTAGTTACCACAGTTAACACCAAGTCAAGATGTTTTTGGTCTATCGTTAAGGATGCCAAATGCATTTTAACTCTGCAGGCACCTTCAAACAAGCGACTCAAAAAGAACCCAAGCACACAAGTCCTACATGGTGATGGCAACCTGCAGATGCACATCCACAAGCTGTCCCAGAGTGGGGTGTGACAGGAGGCCCACAGGGCAGGTGGCTCTCGCTGCAACCCCCACTGGGCACAGGCTCACAGCCTAGGAGCGCTGCCTCCGAGTGCAGCTCCATCACCATAAGCTGCTCAGAGAGGCTCCTTAGAATCACTCCTCCAACTTCATTTCCTCAGCATTTTTGTCCCTCTTCCCCTACTTCCCACGATGCTCAGTATGTGGTCCCCAAACTCTCAACAACAGACAACGGAGAGCTGAGCCCGGGTCACTCTAAGCAGCCCCTTGTTGCCGCGGAAAGGCTTGAATGGAAGGAAGAATCCCCACGTGCCTTTGCTCCTCACCACGCCAGACGCCCAGGGGAGGAGGCAAGGCTCCTGGAACCCTGGTGCCTGCCTGGCTGGAGGAGCAGGGCTGCGGCCAGTGCCTCTCAGCTGGCTCTCCCGCTCTGGAGCACCATCAGGTCAATCGTGGTCTACGTCCACAACAGACCAGGCTGATGTCTCACGGACCGTCCTCTTGCCCAGCTCCCATCTGAAGTCCAAGGGTGAAGACTTCAGCCGGGAGTTCACAGCCAGTCACTAGGAACCATGTCCCGCCTTGGGGGCCAGGCCACTTCCTGCAGGGTCTGGAAAGATTCCGAAATGTGGAAGGAGGAGTCTGCCTTCATTAAAATAAACACAGTTCCCTAAGCCACAACGGTCCAGAGCTTTTCCTTGTTTCAATCACTTTCAAATAACATTTTCTGGAAGTTTCCTAGGGAAACCTAGCCTGTTCTCCCAGTAATGCTGCTGTATAGAAGTTCAAAAGCTTCCAGTGTTTTCCTGTTTCTAACTCTGCTGTGGCAACAGTAACAACAGCTGCTACTGCCCCACGTGCTGCACAGGCATCCTCCTTCTTACACCTTATAGCGGCACAACCTGAAAGGCCCCTTCGACACAGGAGACCTGAGCTCAGGGACTGCATGATGAGCCAGTCTCACAGCAGCTTTAACCCCCAGCTCTGCCACTGAACACAGTTTCCTCCAAGCCCTTTTCCTGCCCTGAACTCTACTCAGCCTGCGTGGAGACAGGACTGTACCTGGCCCACATAATCCAGGCTCGGGGACTAAACTCTCAGAACCAAAAACTAATACAGATTGTCTGAAAAATGGTATTTCCTGACGATCTCTTTTTCTGTGGTAAGTCTTAAAAAGATAGTCAGAAAAATAATTATATCTAATTATTATACATAAAAATTACATCTAATTACATATCTGACAAGTTGCCTTCACTGAGTGATCCCATAGAAGCTGAGAGGTGTGGCCAGCGTGCCCAGAGTAAGTACAGCAGGAACCACCACGTTCAGCACGGTTGGTTCTCAAGTCTCACACATTTAACAGAAAAATGTAGTTTTAAGGATAAAATAAGGACCGGTTAGCTGAGCATCACTGTGGTGTTATGATATATATACATATATATATATATATATACACACACACACATATACATATATATATATATTGGTTTTCATCCACAGCTCCTGGCTCGTAACTCCCGTAGTCCTTGTTATATGTTGGGATACTTCAGGCCTCAAAAGCAGCCTCAGAAGACAGAATCTCTCTCTGACCTTCTGCTGTCCTCCTTTCACCTGCCCAAGGGAGGATTCTAACCTAACTGTGGGTCTCATTCCAGAGAGCGTCCTGCCTCATACCCTGGAGGGAGGGATCGCTACACAGACAGGTCAGAAAGAATCTGGACAGGACTTGCTGGGTTTAGATCATGTGCTTTTTGTCTGATCACATTTCTACATGGTTGTCAATCATGCCTACGTACTAATGAAGCTTCTGTAAGAACCAAAGAGGGCTGGGTTCAGAGAGCTTGCAGAGAGCTGAACACGAGGAGGTTCCTGGAGGGTGGCGCACCCAGGGAGGGCATGGAAGCTCCTCGCCCCTTCCCCCATACCCCACCCTACACATCTCTTCATCTGTATCCTTCGTAATGTGCTTTATAATAAATCGCTCAATGTAAGTTAAGTGTTTCCCTGAGGTCCGTGAGCCGCTCTAGCAAATTAATTGAACCCAAAGAGGGAGGGGGATTCACGGGAACCCCTCTTCAAGCTCATCAGTCAGAAGCCCCAAGGCCCAGACTTGTGACTGGTGTCTGGGGGGTGGGGAGTGGAGCTTCTTGGGATGAGCCCTCACCCTGTGGGATCTGATGCTATCTGCAGGTAGATAGTGTCATAGTTGAATTAGAGGACACACAGCTGGTGTTCACTGTGTGGTATACATGGGAAAAACCCACATTTGGTCACATAAGTCCTCTTCTGTGTTGATAGTTGTGGAGTTTAGAAGAAAACATGGTTTGGGGAATGTTTTTCCCAAAGCAGTCACCAAAGTGAATAATAAAGGATTATTACTATACAAAAATTTATCTTATAGGAAAATATAAAGTCAAATTCGTTCTCCAAATTTGGCTACAGCAGAGGAGACAGAGTAACTGGGACTTTCAGAAATTTCTAGATGCTTCATATCACACTCAATGTCAACTTTAGAAGTTCTTTATTAAAGGGTATTACAACCAAAAACATCTAAGCTGGAGCAACATGAATTAAGAGGACCAACTATGCTCATCACAAAAGAATACGGTCCTTGGAAGGATTCTTTAAAAACAGTCCTGGGGCTTTTGGCTGCTGTTAACGATTGCTTGCTAACTGGGGATACACAGGGCAAAGAAACAACCGTTCATGATCAGTGATAACCACAACATTAAAATAAACCACTGCAACACACTGTGACGTAATGGGAAAGTAAGACTTGATTTATAAGAACGTGATGTACACTCACTACATACACAGCTCAGAGAGACCAAAGATGTCCATGCACATTCAGTAATCCCGTTTCTAGGCTGCCTGTGTTCCACTAAAGAGGGTCCCTGAACATGAAAAATGGAAAGATAAACTTTGCTGCTTAATCACTTAAACTCCTTTTCACAAATACTTGAATATATGGATTGGTGCTTGGCATAAGAGAGGAGAGAGGTGGAACAGAAAAAGAATTTTAGGCAGGTTGTTCTCTTACAAAATGCTTATTCCACAGATATCAGATGGGTCAGGTTTATTTCTTGAGAGCTTTCTTCAGCAGAATCCCCAGTTGTAAAAGTCCAGATCTTTCTCCACTGCCCAAACACGAATGCAATTTCTCCTTTTGGGAGAGGATTATGCTGAAAATTATTGTTGCATAAATACCGTTACCTTTTCTGGTGAAAAACTCCTTGGAATATTTCCCCAACATAGCGTATTTTCGAGGAACTTTCCCCAGCAGTTCAATGATCAATGCTATGTGATCTGCATGGGAAACATTGCCAGCAAAACAGAAACACACGACAGTTTAATCAGTACACTGCATGCAGACACTACCACCGCCCGCGCAGACAGAAACAGCGCGACCTGAATGACCAAAGCATAGGCTTTCCCACGCGGCCGGATTCAGGGGCCGGTGCACAGGGTGACTGCAGCACAGGACCAAATGCAGTCTTCCCGACAACTTTTCAATCGGCATAGGAATTCTGCTGGGTTGCTTTCTGAATGTAGGAGAAATGCCTTTGTCACCATTAATGCTGCAATCGGCAGCTGCTATTCCATTTCTGTCTGCATCGTGGCGCTTTTCAAAAAGAAGAGGTACTACCTCTGCGATTGAAGAATTCCCGAGAATATTTTCCAGATAGAGCAAAGTGCCTTGGGATACTGCCTAGCAGCTCTATGATGTGGGCTATGTGGTCTATGGAGGAGAGAAAAAAAGGATATGGGAATGGGAGGGGCAAAGGGAAGGATGGGATAAAAGAAGAGGGAAAAAAATTGAAATTAGTAAAAAATCAGAAATTAGATTCAAATCAACAATGTCTGCAGCACATCCATGCAGAGGCTTGTGGGACTGGCAGGCCTCAGGCACCATCTGGAGCAGTAACAGTGACTGAGGCCAGCTCACCCCAGGTCACCCCAGCATTGCAAGCAAATAAGCATGGAGATGGTCAGGTTTATAGATGGAATTCAAGCCAGAATTCCTGGGTTTTTTAGCTCAGCTCCCAAACAGGCCAGAGAAATGGGCAGCACATCAGCGGACAAAAGGACCACGGAGAGGCTTCAGGTACGCATAGTCTGTCCTCTCAGGACCAGCTGGGCTCCCACCCTGGTGCCAGGCCAAGAGGAGAGGCTGGTGTGGGCCCCTGAGGGCTCTCCGGAGTGCCACCTGTGCCAGGCAGACCCTGCCCATTCACTGAGACTGAGGGGGCTTCAAGCTCAAAGGAAAAGCATCTGAATTTGGTGTTTGAAAACCAAAACATGGCTCTATTTCTGTATAAACACACAGTACTCTCCAGAAGTTCAGAACTGGCAGAAGACCCAGACTGAGATATTCAGAACGCAGCAATACTCACCTTCGTCTCTGGAATAGTCTTCCCCAGAATGCGGTTCAAACAAATAATCTCCTGTTGCCAGCTCAAATGCCTAGGATACAACAGATGACATGCTAAGCATTTCACAGAGTCTGGCCCCCAAGTCAGCAACCTGCGTTCCTTATAGAGGAGACCTACATTTTATGAGGATCTGAATCAAACCAAAACGCCTCCTCAATGCTTAATTCTTTCTTTCTTCCAAAAAGTTCAAAAAAGCTTCAGGAATATTTTTACACCTCTTCTAATGGAAGATATATATATATATAAAGGCTATGAATTCTCTTCATTTTGCAGGAAGCGAAAGTGAAACATCAGGAGTCAGCTGCACCTATGTGCAGGCCTGGCCAAAGCACAGCCCCATTCTATGAACTGTGGAGCCAGGAGGATTCAAGCCAGGACTCAACCAGGCCGGTCTGACACGAGCACCTGCCTGCAACCAGCGTGCTGACCTGGTCCCCCTGAATAGCGACCCTGCTGCTTTCTTTCAGCAAAGACCTTCATGTATCAAGGTCTATTTTCAGCATCTCATCATCTATTTCCATCATCGTTTCATTCATTTCTGACTCAATCAAAGAAAAACCTAGAAACAAAAAAGCCCCCAAGGCCAGATGAAGCCAACGTCAAGGAGGGTGGGCTCCTGGGTTACTGTCAGCCACCCCTCAGCATGCCAGCATGTAGGGAAGGCCATTTGTTCCCACTGCCCTTGCTCATAAAAAAAGCTCAGGACCATGAGTTTAAGTTAATAACAATACACACAGGCAGCAACTGCAATTGCTCTGCTGATCAAATATAACACTATGTTTGAAAAAAAGAATAAGCTAAATCCCATTTCTGGGTTTTCCCATAGTTCCTTCTATCCTGAAAGAGATCTTGCTGTTCTGACAGGTGCTCAGAGGCCCAGTGCCCCTTCAATGGACCTGTGGGTCAGTGGCTGCCCCCACCCTGCTCCGACAAGCCACACTCACGAAGGTTTACTGTGCCAACCTCCCTTCTCTTTCTTTCAATGACCGGAGTGCTGGGAAGGCACTCGTAAGGGGAAGACCTGCCGGCCTGGGTGAGGGGCTGTCTCTCCTAGCACTGTCTTTAACAAACCAGAGTGGGCACAGTCAGCCCAGAACCACATCACATTTTCATCTTTTTTTAAAAAAGACTGCATGTGAATCAGTTGAAGGAGGGAAGCAGGGTGACAGGACTGTTGCCAGCTGCATCTGCAAAGAGCTCTGGTTCTTGAGCTTGGGGTCTGAGCAGGACACGGACATGCCCAGGCTTAGCGCAGGGTGGGCCGGTCGTCCCAGCACTGCAGATGCACGAAGGCACCAGCAGAGCACCCGGGAAGGCCCGAACTTGGGCCGTCCTCTCCACGCAATAGAAACAGCTGAACTAATCCCACCTCAGGACAGAAAACCTTACGTTAGGCCCCAATTGCAAGTGGAACGACTGGATTACGTACTCAATGGCCAGAAGAGTCTGGGAAGCAATTCATTCAATATCTTATAAGCCAAACAAAAAATGTGACAACTCTAATTAGGGAGAAAGAGGACTTGAGAAGCCACTTGGATGGAAAGTTCTAATGCAAGCTCCAGTTGCTCTTCCACTCCTGCTTTGAGTCTTATTCTAACTCTTTAATTAATTTTCAAAAATATTTCAATCTGGTCGTATATATTTCTTTTTGTTTTTTTTCCTTTTTTTTTTTTCCTAAAGGGTCTCACCATGTTGCCCTGGCTGGACTTGAACTCCTGGGCTCAAGCAATTCCCCCGCCTTGGCCTCCCAAGTTGCTGCAGAAGTGTGCCAGGGCACCCAGCTTTGTACGTAATTCTTACTGCCTAACACCAAAATATATTACCTAAGTGTTCTTTAAAAGACGACCATTTTGATTAATACCCATATACGTCCAATGAAACACTTAAGCCTATCAATGAAATATTCTTTTAAAAAAAGAAGAGGGAAGATGGAAGCTCCCCTGTAATGTCATCTAGTTTTAGTTCTTTCGAGAGTGACAAGACTCTCACGACTTGCTCAACAGGGTGAATGCACATTACAACAAAAACATCTGCCTTTTTATTTTACAATTTTACACTAGCAGCATAAAAAAAATGTAAGATTATTGCCTTTAAGTCGAGTTACTCCCAATATAACCTTAACTATTTACTTTTAATACTCGGGAACTCTGGCTTCTTCCCTCTGCGCTTGCCTAGCCCCCGAGGAGGCCTTCCCCTGGACCAGCCTCTGTTCTCGGATTCTTGGGTGACCACGTGCCTCTTTCCTGAAACGCCTTCCTAAGCCAAAGTACCCCATTCTGATTAAATAAGGTCACTTGTTTATCCTGTGGTGTGACCAGTGCTGAAGATGTTCGGTGACGTTTGTCAGAATGGCTTTTCTTGTTTCTATGGCACTGACTAGCACTCACCATGGAGTCCGTAAGAAGTTACCTATTTAGGGACTCTGACACAAAAACGCAGAGAAACCAGCACTTCAGCCACCCAGGAGTTTTAGATCATATACACTTACACCTGGAATGGCCCCAAAGCCCAAGAAAAGAAAAAGAGGTCTGAAAACTGACACCAGGCCTCATTCTGTTGTGTTTCTCCAGCTGTAGAACCTGAAGTTCTCCTACCTGACACAGAAGGGGACTCGGCCACACCCATCAGCTCTTATTCCCAACGGAGTCTCTGTGAGATTGATGCTATATATAAAACTCAAAGGACTAAAGGATTTAGCACCAAGAACAATCTGTGGCTTTATGACAGCTTGGTATTACAAGGTCGAATTTAATATGCTGTAGTATTTTTAAACTTCAACAAAAGGGTGGAGGTGGAGAAACACGGCCTCATCTCTCCCAGGTTATCTGAGGAAGAACTAAAGGGACCTCTCAGCCAAGGCCTATGGGGTGGGGTCGGCAGGGAATGGGGGTTGCCTGTTCCTAAAAATCACCCTCATGACAACCAACCAAGAAAAAACAAAAACCAAAACCATAAGCAGCACCGAGGGAGCTTATGCTTAATTCTTGGGAAAGGGGAAGGTGAAAGGAGACAGAAGATGCTTTCCCTTGGGGCCTGTCACTGTGTTCACACACCCACACTCACAGAGACAGCACTGCAAGAAGCTGGCAGGACACGGAGCCTGAGTGGAGGATAAATCCTTGTCTAAGGCAGGCAGGACAGATACCATGGTACCATGCTGATAGCTCCACCATTTTCTCACTGAATCTGTAATTTTGTCCTATTTTTCTGATTATGTCACCAAATTTAATACCCAAAATTAGAAGCACAGGATTTCAGAGTTGAAAGAGTTCTTAGCACTTAATTCAGGGAGGCCTAATGCTGGTGACCAGTGCAGCTTGACCTCCCTCATCCTGCATGGCTCATGGCTCCCAGGGAGCTACTCCCTGCCACTCCATTGCTCCCCGCTGCTCCCTGGGCCCCCTTTCCACTGCCTCCCTCCACCTAACTGCCCTGCGGGTCATACAGAGGGGGTCAAATGCCTCTCCACACAATCATCTCTAAATCCAACGAAAACGTCACAGTGAATCCACCGATGCTTTTAACCATTCTTTTCTACACTGAGCTAAGGCAGGCACTTGGTTTTCGACGCAGAAAAACTTTAAAACTGTGAATAATTTTAAAATCACCTGTTATGATCCATAAGAACAACAAGGGGCTAGAAAGGCCCAGTGTTTCAGACCTATTTGGCCATATCAGTTCAAGTTAGCAACAGATCATGCTAACTTGAAAGACACAAAACATCTACTTTTTCTCGTATCGTCTGGTACTATGTGCTTAACATAATGCTTTTACTTTAGCATTAGAGGACATAAAATATAGTAAATTCAAAAGAGTTGTTAAATTAAACTTTAAATGGAAACTTAACATATTTATTTTGCATTGCCTTTTTTTTTTTTAGCAAGAAGACATGTGCACTGTGTGTAAGGCCTTACACACGAGCCCTTTCATTTAAACATCAGAGGGGAATTCGGATAAAAAATAATAGGAAACAGAAAAAGCATGAACCCCCACAGTAAGCAACCCACTTTTCCCAGTGTGAGAATGACAGAGTAGAGCCCACTGAGAGAAAAGCACTGAACTGCCAGGAAATGGGGCCGAGAAACAGGACCTGAAACTGTTCCTGGGTGAGGGACCACTCGTGCCACCAAGTCACAGGTTCACAAGAATGACAAAAGACCAGCGGGCTGGGGAGAGCTCGGACACAACCAACCTGTGATGTGCAAGACCAACAGCAGCAACAAGTATGATACAGAAGAGGCACCTGCTGCCTCCAGGAAGACATCACTATGCTGTCTCTGGAATGTTCTCTCTGGGAAAGGCCTCAGTCAGAGGGAGCATATGCCACTCCTCCTGTCTCAAAAGTGACTGGACATCCTAGAACAATCAGCCAAAATATTCTCTCGATCATTCTTCGTAAAGAAAGAGTGATTACGTGCTGGTATCTAGGGAGATCCGTCCTGGTCGGGAAGGAGGTGAGGAGCCCTGCCCCCTGGCTCCCCCGGGAGAGGCCACCAGAAGGGCTCCAACCTCAGCCTCAGCAGCCTTCCCCTGAGAGACAGCTGTCTCGTGCTCCTCTGCGATGTGAGTGAAGGGGAAACCTCTGAACAACCCGCACGCTCTCAGGGACCAAAAGGAATTACATCAAGGCACTGTGTTGCCACAACTGAGTCTGTCGGGGCCGTGCGCTGTGCAGGGACTTAAAAAGAGACCATCTCTCACAAGACCAAGCCAAATCAAGCTGAAAACACAGGGCATGCATCAGGAGAATTCTTCCCATTCTTAAAGCACCCAAGGCAGCAACTTTCCCCTCACCAAGCCCACAGTGGACGACCCTCACAGTCAGAAAAACTGAGATCACATGCCCCGGAGACGGCCCCATCAAGAGCACTAAAGGGATGAGCAGACTCATACGGAAGAAAACGGCAAAGGCCATTCTTACCATACATGCCGTACTCCAGATGTCAGCAGGTGTGCTGTAACCTGCTCCTATTAAGACCTCTATGGATCTATACTGCCGTGTCTGGATGTCTTCCGTGAAGTGTTTATGCTGGAAGGGAACAGATCGCATTACCATGGAGGATCACAGACATTAAAACAGTTTCTTCTCACATAGAATCACGACAAAAATATTTTAGAAAGAAACTCTACTTACCACCCAACAAGCGTTTCCCAGGTCAGCAATTTTTACTCTAATTTTATCTGCGTTCCGTGGATCCAGAGGATTCACCAACAAGTCGGCCGCCCGGGTTTTTGCTGGCGTGAGCAAACAGCAGGACAGTTAGCACCTGGGTAAGTGTCTGCATGTGTGAGCACAGTCTGCCAGGACACAGTCTCCTCTCCTAAAGGGTGGTCCAGGATCACTTAGGCCTAGGACACTATAAACTGAACTTAAGTAACAGAATTAAAATTCTTCCCATCTCTGGAAAACATTCCACAAAAGAGAGCAAATAGGGCTGCCCAGCCCAGAGGACACCAGGGTCACTGCCTTGCCGTTTCTCCTTAACCCTGACCTTTGCCCACTGGTCAGCACTGAACACTCTGGCCTTGCTGTGGCCTTGCCTGTCCCTGTGGCCGCTCCTCATGACATCCAGGCCCTCAGGGCAGGTCTAGCGTGCTGGTGTGCTGCTACAGGGAGCACAGAGGCAAAGCATGCTGCTGTGGGTGACCCATCACTTCCTAGTGACAACCAGGACCATAGGGTCCCAGTACCCACATCCAACACACCCTACATCTCCTGCTGCTTGGGCTGAGCACATACAGAACTCAAGGCCTAGAAGATAGCTGATTAACAAATACAGATTAAATCTATTCTGGTTTAGTTTTAGACAAGGAAGACTTAGGCAGAGGTCTCCTGAGATGGCTTGGGCCACAAAGGCAATCTCCGAGGTCACTCTCAATTCCAGGGTGATCCCAAGGGAATCTCAAAGGCAGGCACAGGGCCAGGCTTCCCAGGGTTTTCAGGGGCCAGAAGCACCTCTCACACAAGCCTGGACCATGCCTGTATCAAGCATCGTTACCAGGGAGCAAACAACAAAGAAAAATAACTTGGTGAAGTTCAAACATAAAATTCGGAAGTTAGCATCTTCAACCCCAAACCTCAAACTGACCTACAAGCTCAGATTTCTTGTAAGGATGAAATGTAATCATAGTTTTTATCTTAGAAGTGATTTTGAAATGGTGTTTACAAACTAAACAGAAAAGCCTGCTCAATGAAGAACATTAAATACCTACCCTTTGGTTCACTCAAAGCTGGGCACTGCTAAAATGAACCAAACGTCTTTTGGGTATAACTGAGCTATGGACCCATGGTGTGCGAGGCGGCTCCAACTCCTCAGCACGCCCCATCCAGGCAGAAAGGCCAGCTTGCTTAGGTTAGCACGGCAGTGGGCAGGCAAGTCCCCAAGGGCACCCGCAGGGCTCCCGGGGATGCTAGGAGAATTCTGGTCAATATCTCAGCCCTCAAGACCTGCTCCTCGGGCTTGAGGCTCAACCTGGGCCAGCCAGGCACAGATGTTCCCTTCTTGACACCTTTCACATGCCTGCTTCCTCTGTACACAGATGGTGAAAGTTTACAGTGGGGACTTGCCAAAGGCCAGGATGAGCTCAGGAAAACAAACAAAGGACCTCAGAAAATGATGAGAAAGAAAGCAGCACAGAACACAAAAGGAGGGAAAATGTATACACTGATACATCACAGCTGAGAACAGAGCTCCAGGATAAACGTAACAATGCTGACCAGTGGACAGACGGACAACACTAGAAATGACTAGATGAATCCCTCATGTCACTTCATCAAGGAGAATCAGCAGGAAAGAAAACGGAATTTGAAGTTTGCAGAATCTAGATTCAAATCTAAGTTTTAACACCTATAAGTTAAGTTGTAAGACTCCCAAATGACAAACTTTTTGCAGCTCAGTTTTTAGGAAAAGAGGAAGAGGAAGAGACCACTCCCCTTCCTGCCAAAGAAACAAGAAACAATCCAAACACAGGAGAGTTAGGACAGCATTTGGCTGACTGGCTAGAACCAGGGGCTTCGCTCTGCTGTGATCGCTGAACAACCCTCTAGGGGCTGAGGCTCCTGTAACGGGCCAGTGAGGGACCAGGGAGCAGGCAGAGGCAGAAACACAGGGGTGCGTCCCACCTCTCCACATACTTCAGATAATGGTTCTAATGAGAGAAGAGAATGAAGCCACATTAGTCATACTGTGGTCCTCCTAAACCACCGCAAGATTTGATTTCTTTTTCCTTTCTGAGAACAGGTAACTGTGAGTTGGCTGTTATCTGAGGGTACTCAAGTGGAAGGAGGTGATCTGTAATCTGCCACCCACTCTGAGTTGTTGTTTTTAAACACACCTCCCAGGAGCTGCATAATTCAATTAAGCTAGAAGAAATACACTTTCAAAGACACATCACCACACATTTAAATCCAGTTTGTTGTATTTTTACTATCCCTCATTTATGTTCACTAAACAAAATCTCTTTGGTGACATACTGCTATCCTCCTGGTTCAGGTTTATAAACAGTGACCCAGCTTACAACGTGTTCCAGACCATACTAGGTAATTTATCTCGATAACTTAATTGTACAAGAACACAACAGGAGGTAGAAGAGATTCTGCTTTTCTGACTTTCTTCTCTCAGTCCTAGGGAATCTGACAGCACCAGTCCACGAATGCCCATTTAAATACAGACACTTGTGCCTGTGGCATCCGCATAATCGTTGCAATTCTGCTCTGCACCTCCTCTCGTTAGGTCATCCCTGTTGTGACTGGTCACAGCTTTTCCTTCTCATGGATACTGGTGACACAAAGGACAAGTTGTAGCTGTCCTTCGAAAATGAAAAGCCTGCGATTACGCTCCGCTTATTATACCAAGAAGAGAATAAGTGGGAAGATTTCATTTCAGGAAGGGCTGGGACCCTTAATTCACTTTCTGATAACCCAGTGTCTGGGTGACACTGTGGTCATTCGTTCCATGTGAAGCTCTCCTAGAAACTAGTAAGACAACAGACAGCAATGTGTGAAGAGACAGCTGCTGCCACGTATGCATAAGGCACTGTGCTAGGCACACACCAACTTCATATTACAAAACGTCCGTACAAGGAAGGCATGAATATCCTCTCTATATGGAGGAGGTTCAGCACTAGGACCACAGAAACAGTAGCAAAACTAGATTTAATGCTAACACCTGACCCACTCATTCAACAAATAATTAGAGTCCCTTCTACGTGCCGAGCACTGTCTTGGTACTTGGTACTGGGAACACAGCATGAAGAAAACATGCCCCAAATTTGGAAACTCATGTACCAGCTGGAAACATGGACAATAAAGTAAATACATAGTAATTCAGATACTATCTCAGGTAGCTATATATGCTATGAAGAAAAAACAAAGCAAAGAAAGGAGATGGATAACAATGAGGGTGTTCGGGCAAGTCTTTTCTGAGAAAGTGACATTCAGGGAGAGGCCAAAGAAAGGAAGGCATGGAGTGGGAGAAGTTCTAGGCAAAGGAGACAGGAAGTGCAAAGGCCCTGAGGCAGAAATAAGCTCTCAATTTTGAGAAACTTTGTAAAGAAGCCAATGTGAGTGTGCAGAACGAGCCAGGGGAACAGAGGGGCTGAGAACAGATGACATCAGAGAGCCACCAGGGAACAGACTGGAGAGCTCCTTGGCTTCAATGAGGGATGCCTGGGGCATGGCTCTATGTGAGAAAAACAGTGGAGATCCTCTTTTAAGGGGGCAAGGGAAGATGGCGGCATATGCTTTTCAAAGATTTCTCTGGACTGCTGGATGGAGAACAGATTGAGGAGCAACAGCCGAAGTGAGACGAACATGCAGGCTACATTAGGTGCAGGCATGGACTGAAGGTGACCTGGGTCACCATCAGGTGACATGAAAGGATTCCAGATATATTCCGCAAGTAAAATGAAACAAGACCACCCTGCTCTAGGGCCTTTGTCCTTCAGATGTGATGAGCCAAGATCAGTGCTATGGCTCTATAAGCTAATAATCTAAGAGGAACCTTGCCTCCTCTTCTTCATCTTTGATGGCTGCCAAATTACTCTAGGAAAAAAAGTCTACATTCTTTAGCCTGGCATTCAAGTTCTTCAGTCTTCTCAGTCTGGCCCCAAGCCGCCTTCTACTATTCCCTAATGTGTACACTCTGCTCTAGTGACAAGGACCTATACAAACTCTCAAGAAAGATTGTTTCTCTAGCCTCATGTTCCTGTGATACCAGGTGTCCAACTGCAAGCCCCTCGGCCGTACGCCTACCACAAAGGAAACAAAAAAACACCTCCCACAGGAGAGGCTGCCCCTGGTTATCAAATGACCAAAGTAGAAACCAAAACTGAGTGCCTCCAAGAAAAGACTGGGTAAGTAGATCCTGTCCCTGGTGTGTCCCTAGAATTCAATAATACTGAAAAAGCCTGTTTGGTAAGAGGCTGGGATCCATAAAAAATAAAACAGAATACAACAAAAAAAACCCACTTCCTATTTCTACCTGATACAACAGGTACTGAGGATGGTATGTGTGTTGGATAGAGTAAAGTTTTGATTAGAAAAAGGTAGGAGAAAGGGAAGAGTAGAAGAATTTTACCAGATATTACTCATCTGTTTGTTATTCAATAAATATTTATCTTAGCAATGAGTTAGATGCTGAGGATACAAAGATAAGAACATCCTGTACTCTCAAAGAGTTTACACTCAGGTGAGGAGAGAGATACTGAAAATGAGCAACGGCCAGGCAATTAAGGAAGGTATGACTGAGAGAAGAGAGGGGAAGAGAGCTGTGGCCTGTGGAGGACACAGGAAGCCGTCACCAGGAGGCCAGACACCATGTCCCATTGTGTCCTGGACCAGGAAAAAGAAAAAAGGAAAACTGTAGGGTAACTGAGGACATTTGACTGTGGAATAAATAATAGAAGTGTTATGAAATTATTAATATTCTTACATATGATGGTACTGCCGTTATGACAAAGAAGGCCTTAATTCATCTCTCAGGAGATGAACGCTTACATATTTAGGAGTGAAGTGTCCCAATATCTGTAGCATACAATGTGTGTATAAAATAAATACATACAATTTGTCAAAATGTTAATGTTGAATCTGTATGGAGGATACATAGTTGTTCATTGTACTATTCTTCAAAATAAAAAACGGAGAGAGATGTTCTATGTTCTAACACTTGCCCTCCCTGTGCCTCCACGGGCGGTGCTGGTTACGCAGGGACACGCACACTCCACTGCAGAGACTGCGGTAGATCGTGGGCGCTGTGAAAAACTGCAGGCAGAAGAACAGACTGGTTTGATTAGCATATTTCAAAAACATCCTAACAGCTACGTGGAAGAGCAATTTGAAAGGCAGAGGGGGATGGAAGCTGGAGAGAACACGAAGCCGAGAGGCCAGCGTGGAGCCTCTGCAACAGGTGAGGCCAGCAGTGACGGTGCTCGCTTTCGGGCTAGGCAAGGAGGACCCCGACTTCAGAGGTACGACTGGCAGGACGTGGTGACCCAACGGATGAGAGAGAAAAAAGGCAGATACACGATGACCAGGTGTCTCACAGGAGCAACACCAGAAGGTGGTAACAAGTGTAGGCAACACAGTATGTTTAGCAGGTGGCCAGGGCAAGTGGTGCTCTGGTTTGGAAGTGTCAGGTTTGAGGTTCCCTTGTGACACACAGATGGTGCTGTCACAGGATCAGGTGGATAAGTGAACCTCAAGACAGGAGAACTGAGCAAGAGATTCCTCTGCCAGGAATGTGCTTTCCTTGGATTCGGGACATGCTTCCTCACATCCTTCAGGTCTCTGATCAAATGCTACCTCGTCACCATCTGGATGGGACCTAAAGCAGCCCCTGCCACACTGCATCGTCCTCACCAGGCTTAGCAGGAGGCAGCTCTCGCTGGCCGCCGACCCTCGCGGCACGTAAGCTCCAGGAGGGCAAGCGCACTGCGGCTTTGTTGACTGCTATGTCCTCAGTCCTCACAACAGGGTCTAGCACACTGCTGGAACTCGACAGCTGCTGAATGAACGTGGAGTTGGCCGTCAGTGCCACGCTAAGGAGTGGATGTCACAGGAGGGCTCAGCTCAGTCAGGCAAGACCTGTGTGAGGAGCCTGAGAACAGACATCAGGGAGGCCCCAACATTTAAGATGTCTGAAGAAGACTAAGGAACCGCCCAGAGGAGGACAGGACAGAGCAGAGCCAGCAATGCTGAGGGAAGACAAAGGCTGAGGTGGCAGGGTCAGCAGAGTGGGGCCCACGTGAGCCAGCGCGCTGGGACGGTGGCACAGCCACACGCCTATCGAGAGATGGGGACAGTCTCTGCCTAGGTACCTAACGATTCTTTACACCCAAGCAACATGCTTCTAGTTTAATCACCTGTCTCCAGTAGGATTCTACACTGTGTCTAAATTAGAAATTGTCCTCTCTTCACCCACTGTCATTCACCTCAACCTGAGGTTCCCCTACTTCTCTTTGTCATGTGGGGATGTTTTTCTCTTTCCAGATGTAAATCTATACCTACCTACTCCTGCCTGCTTCCCACTGTGAATCACGATGTGGCAGACAGAGCAGGACCAGAAACCAGGAGGCCTGGGCTCAGGATCTACTAGTTACAAACCAAGTGACTGTGCTAAATAATAAATAAGCCTTTCTACTTGCCGGGACCTCAGATATTGACAACACGGTAACAGAAACAGAAGTAGCCATCGTGCTCCCTGCAGCGTTTGTGATGACTAGGGCAACCTACAGTCACCAAGAATGTTTTTGTTATTATATATTTCATGTTATTATTTATCTACCTATACCATTTACCTGTTTTATTTGATTCCATAGTAGTAATATTTCCTTTGATAGAGGAATAAACTGAGGCTCAGGGAGGTTAAGAAACCAAAGTCCCATAACTATTAAGCTTTGAGCTGAGATTTAATCTGATATATAGTCGTCCCTCATTATCCACAGGAGGACTGGTTCGCAGACCTCCAAGGGTACCAAAATCCACAGATGCTCATGTCCCTGGCAGAAAATGGCGTCGTGTTTGCATACAACCTATGCATATCCTCCTGTATACTTTAAATCATCTTGAGATTGTTGATAACACCTAATATAATATAAATGCTATATAAATAAATAGTTCTTATACTGTATTGTTTAGGGAAAAATGACAAGGAAAACAAGTCCGTACATGTTCATTACAGACACAGGGGTTCTTTTTCCCCTGAATATTTTTGACCCGAAGTTGGCTGCATCCACAGATGCGAAACCCATGGATAAGGAGGGCTCCCTGTATTTGAAGCTACTGTCCCAAGCTGCTACTCACAAAACAAATATGAATAAAAATGAATTTAAAAGGTAATTTATAAATTACTTTCTGTATCTTTACTTATCTGTAAGTTAGGCAAATATTGAGCTACAATAGCAACCACAAATCTGCCGAAGGTACATTTCACTACTGCTCTTTCCTAGAAATGAACCTACATTCCATGTGAAACCACTTTATAAGCACCTTCAAACCCTCCCTGGCCAGGGTAAAGGAGAGCAGGAGTTGACCGTGTTCAGCCAAGTCGAGAAAACACATTCTTAGGATGCTGAGTTATAGCCAGTGCGGAACCAAACCAGCTCACATATCAGGATGCAGATGGCATCCCGCTGGAAGGAAAGGGGCTGCAGGAATGACTGGGGCTGGGCTATCTGCAGGGCTGGCTCAGCAATTACTCTTCATGTGTTAAACAGTCTTGTCAGTAGAGGGAGCAGAGGAGGTTTCTGAGCTTCTCCACTGCGGGCCAGAATGGAAACCAACCGTGACACCCAGTTTTCAACTTACTAAAGTCACTTGGCATTCACTCCCAAAATAAGTCAGGACATTCTTAGGTGGACAAGAACACAAGATTCAATCTACAATCTGTCATTACATTTAAATCCATGCCACTTTCTTTAAAATTACAGTCCTTGGCCAGTTATCAATGGCAAGGTCCTATAATCGGGAACAACTATCAGAAGAAAATACACTTCTTTCTCAATAAAGCCAAAGAGAAGGCATATTTTTTCTTAAATAGAAAAACAAACAAATACTAAACATAATGCTATCAGATGGGAGGATACGAATTATAAACTAAACTACACATTCTAGAAAGCTACAAGGTGTATACTGCTAGAGCTGGAAGGTTTTTGCAAAGGCTTAATGTCACTGACTAAATATAGAAAGAATGAGAAAAGCTCAGAAATGAGATCTGATATGCAGAGAGCAAGAGAAAGCCCAGTGGCACAGAACATATTTTTCAATCACATCACTTGTTCACGGGTATAAAAATAATAAAATGGAAATGATCAGTGCACACATGCATAGCTTTGCTACCTCCAGCCAATTCCTTTCATGGCATCTGTCAAAGGCATGACCCTGGAACCACTGAAAGCAGACAGGTGATGGGAAGGAACACTTACTTTTTGGCAAATCCCCAGTACTGGAGGCTGACACCGTCCTGCTTCTGTCGTGGGATGGACTGCTTTCCTCTTGCTCAGTGAGCGGTGATCCCTCAGAAAGCACAGAGCCGCAGGCCACGGGTTCTAAGGACCCAGAGAACAATGAAGTGGAAAACTCTGGAAACTGTGACTCAGGAATTTTATGTCGTCCATTTGGCAATTCACCATTGAATTGTTCATAAGAGCTGCTATATGTGTAATCACTTTCTGCGTTTGGCTCATCAAGGTTATATTCCTCGGGATTTGGGCAGTCGTCTTCATCATCCTCTTCATCATCCAGCTGTTGTTCCAGTAAGAATGGGCCATTCTCAATATGCCCGTTGGTTTTGGGTGATTCTATCCATGGGGGGTCTATGTTCGCAAGTTCCTGTTCAACATCATCTTCATCTTTCTCAATATTTTCTTTCTCAGTGTCTTCTTTCTCTTCCTGGTCTTCAGCCTCACCTTAAAAAGTTGATGGGTTAAGAATTAGAACTTGTTACTCTCTTTAATACAGCGGCATTTAATTCCTTCAACAAGATATATTTTTGAATGTGCTTAATTTATTTACCACAGAGTAAACACCTCTTGGCTTTTGGGACAAACTTTTAGGTTTTCCGCATCTCATTTTTCATTTATTTAATAACTGACTTACTCATGAGAAAAGTTAGCTTTGGGGGAAAATAACCATTTATAAATAAAGTTGCACTTCCACTTCTACCCTCTCCTCTGCGATCTTAAGAAAAAGGTTGTGGTACAACACAATCAGGTAAAGGGTTAATCACAAAATAAAGGAAGGACCGTCATTAGCATGATAGAGACGTGGTGTATTTCTCAGACGGTCTGCATTTTTTTAAAAACTATTTTGAAATGTTAACATATTTCTGGCATATGGTTCACAGATAAAGTGCCAGGCTGTATCCCATATTCCCAAACAGGGAGTTGGAGAGAATCACCCTCGACAGCTGAAGCGGCAGCACAAAGCCAATCCCTGTGGTGACCTGCAGGGCCCTGGCAATGGAGCTCCCAGGCCCCTGACTACACTGACCGTTGTCGTTGTCGTTGTCCTTCGCAGTCTCTGCCTCAGCCGTCTCCTCTAATCCCGCTGTTTTTAGTTTCACCTCTGGGCAGTATTCACCATCCTGCTCATTGGAAGGTACAGCTGAGGTGATGTTTTCTTCTATTATTTTCCTTTCAGCTTCTCGCTCCAATTCTTCTATCTCCTGCAGGCGTTTTTCCAATAACTCGGCCTGCCTCTTCTGTTTCTTTTTCAGTTTTTTCTTTTTGTTCTTAGATATTTTTCCTATCTATAACATGTTAAGAAAACACCACAAAAAAAAAAAAAAAGAAAAGAAAACACCATAGGTCAGTTTGCTTCTTTTTAAAGCACTACATAATAGTAGTTCTGGCAGCATGGTAAATACCAATAAACTCTGTTTTTTCATTTCACCTTCAACTAAAATCACAAGTCCAGACATGAGATCCACCTGTGGTTACGGTTATAGTAAAATCAAAAAAAAAAAAAAAAGAAAATTGGTGCATTGGTGCTGGCTAATATCACATGCTGGGTCTACTACTAGGTCCTGCCCTCAGAGGGATATAGCTTAAATCCAATAAGGCTTCACCAGAGAGAACTGAATATTCCAAAATACACTTGGCTTTAAATAAGAAGCTCCTCTTACAAGTTATTTGCTACTGCCTACAGACAACGTAACATCATCTCATCTCCTCCTTGCCAAAAAAGAAACCCTACCAACGCAGGTGTATTTCACTGTTGGTCAACAGCACTATTTGTGTGTGGGTCTCTCATATTGAGCTGTTATCAACAGCCAAGACAACATGAATTCCATGAAATGAGCATATGAAGTAAAGGGGAAAAAAGAAAAAGCCACAGTTTTGTCTGCCTCCAGTCATGGCCATCTGACATGGAAAGTACTGCCAATGAGAACTGCCAATCTGTCAAATGATCAGTAAACTCAAGTGCCTTAGGCCAAGGCAGAACCATGGGAGATGACTCAGGCTCCTCAGCAGGCCAGGAAGCCTAATTATTGCAGTTCCCCCTTGTTCTGGAACTTCGTTCGAAACTGGGGTTGTTTCATTGGATGCAGTGTTTTGACAGGACCACAAAATAGATCACTCTTTCATATTTAACAACTGGCTGGAAAAAATTAGAACAGCTTCAGAAAAACAGGTAACTTAGAAGCCAATCAGAAATAACGTAAAGTGTTTTAGAATAATTATACTTCAAACCCTCTCTGTAGCATCTCACATTTCACCAGACTTGGCCAACAGTACTCCAGAAAATACATAAGAATGATCCATTTTGTAACAGTTTTAACTGTTTCGACTCTGTAAAAATCACTTCAACTTAACAAAACAGTAAGTCTTAAATATTTGAGGATGCACAGCATTTATAAACATATCTACCTTTTAAATTAATATAAATTAGAACTTTTTTTATAATCTGAAAAGCTCAATAATAGTCCCTTTTGACATGGTGAATATAAGTATATGTGTAAGTACTTACAGGTTTTTGTTGTGGAGCCGTACTCACTAAAACAAAATAAAACAAAATGGGTATTTAGAAGAAAAGAGACACATATCTTTATGTAGGTAATTCGAATTGCAAAATGAAATAATTACGGTCTTTTAATGGCTACCCAACTTCAAAAACTGTTAATATAATCAGAGCTTCTTAATCAAAGGGATCTAGAGAAAGTTTATCCAACTCAAATGACTCACTCTTAAAAGGCATAACAGAAGTTGATCATACTGAACCATTTCTCTTATTAATCTAAAATTAAACACCAGTACATCTCAAAAAGTTAATCCCAAAGCACTGACTTATAATTTAAGAAAATGGAGAAAGGTTCACAAATATCCCATAGTCGCCAAACCAAATTCGTTTTAGACATAATAAAGTGAACAATTTGGATTAGATGTACATACAACTAAACTAAATCAAATACTGTACCAAGTGTTCAGCAAGTAGTCTAGAAATCACGTGACTAGACCCTACCAGCACCAAAAACTTGACCCAAACAACATGCTGATGGTGGTAAATGAGATGCGGTAAGGTCCCAGGAGCCTCAGCCCTTTGCCTGTACCTTGCCAGACGATTCGCAAGGCACAACGTGGAAGAGTATAAAAACACATCCACACTTCACGGCCACCACCAGAAACAAAGATAAGCCAATACTCCAGTCACTTGGTCTTCTTCCCCCACCCTTAGGTCTTTTGTAACCAGTTCTGAAACTACTAGTTAAACTCAGATTGATATAGCTAACTGGAGAGTGGGACTCATTCTGACAAAACTGAAGCTAGAAAAAAAATTCTGATGACTAAAAGTTCGCTACAAGAAACCCGTTAATACAGTCTCCTCTGCAGAGAAGCTGGCAACACAAGAAAGTGTTTAGATATAGATGAAGCAGCGGCTAAGAATTTAAATGACCTTTTAAGGGAGGACAAAGGTCAGTAATTCAAATATTAAAATATAATTTAATTGGGGTACCTTCCTTCTCAAGAAAAGGGTGCAGTTATTTCCAACAACAAAGCTCTTACAAAAAGTTCTCGTATATACACATTTGACTCAGTTGCCTCCAACGTGCAACTCTGTAAACTCACAATGCTCCCAAACAGACCGAAACCAAGCTGGCTCACAGCTGCCTCACCTGCAGACCCCGAAGGAGGAGGAGCACCTGCTTTCTGCCACTCAGTGGCCTCGGCTGCCATTCTTCTCACATATGCGTCATCCACACACATCAAGATGTTTTCTGGCTTTATGTCAGTATGAATAATTTTGCACTTACTGTGTAGATAATCTAACCCTTGAAGAACCTGGACATAGTAAAATTGAGAGGAGCTATTAATATGTCATTATTTAACTCTCATTTATTTGCATATCGGGTAATACAATCACACGGTACAAAATTCAATAGACACAAAAGGATATTTAGTAAAACTCCCCCTCCCAGCCCTGCCCCCATAGGAATACAGTTCTCCTTCCCACAAGCAACCAATGTATATCATTCCAGAGATACTTCATGCTCATGGAAGCAAATGCATCTACATACAGTTGGCCCTTGAACAATATGGTTTGAACTGTGTGGGTCCACTTACACCTGGGTTTTCTTCTGCCTCTGCCACCCCTGAGACAGCAAGATCACTCCCTTCTCTTCCTCATCCTACTCAGTGTGAAGATGATCAGGATGAAGACCTTTATGATGATCCATTTTCACTTAATCAATAGTAAATATATATTTTCTCAATAACACTTTCTTTTTTCTAGTTTATTTATAAGAATACAGTATATATAATAACTTGGTGGCCCATGTATAAGAAAAAAAAGAATACAGTATACAATACATATAACATACAAAATATGTGTTAATTGACTGTTTATGTTATCAGCAAGGCAGTAGGCTATGGTAGTTAAGTTTTGGGAGAGTCATAAGTTATATTCAAATTTTCAACTTCACAGGGGGTCACTGCCCCTAAGCCCCCACAATGCTCAAGGGTCAACTGTATATACTTCTTCAATAACAGCTTTATTGAAAGAATAATTCACATATACAATTCACCCTTTTAAGTGTATAATTCAATGATTTTTGGATGTGTAGCCACCACCACTATGTAATCTAGAAAATTTTCATCGCCCCAAAAAGAAATAACATACTTATCAGCATTCACTCCCCATCTCCCTCCAACCCCTCCATTCCTAAGGAACCATTAATCTACTTGCTAATTCTGGACATTTTCTATAAATAGAATCAAATAGAGTATTTTTTTGGTAACTGTCATAATGTTTTCAAATTTCATTTTTGTGTAGCATATATCAGAACTTCATTTCTTTTTATTGCCAAATAATATTCTACCGTATGGATATACGACATTTTGTTTATCTACTCACTTCATAGACATTTGGGTTGTTTCTATTTTGGGGCTATTATAAATAATACTGCTATGCACATTCATGTATACATTTTTGTATGAACATATGTTTTTATATTTCTTGGGTATATACCTAGGAGTGAGACTGTTGGGTCATATGGTAACTCTATATTTAGACTTTTGATGAACTGCCCAAACTGTTTTCCTCAGTGGCCCCATCATTTTACATTCCTACCAGCAATGTTATAAGGGTTCCAATTTCTTCATCCTGAACATTTATTATCTTTTTGATTTTAGCCACCCTAGTAGATATGAAATGGTATCTCACCGTGGTTTTGATCTACATTTCCCTGATGGCTAATGATATGCATACATATTTAATATTGTAGGAAAAGGATTTACTTTAAATAGAGAACTGCTCTAGTATCTAGACAACAATACAGCATTAGACTAAAGGAAAGTTTTGAGCCCAAACATTCATAGGCTTACCACATTAAAACACACACACACACACACCCCCACTTATAAACAGCCAGTGACCTAAGTGCAAGGCCAATGTTTTTCTTGAATTATTTCCACTGGAGAAGGATTTTTTCAATTCTTTCCATAAACAGAATTTATTAATAATTTTACAATATAGATAAGGTTCCCATACCTTAGAAATTCCAAATGCTCAACAAATATCAGCATCACCATTCAAACACTAAGTCATTTAGGCACCCTGTCCACAAGAGACAGGAAGTGTGAAAAGGACAAGCAGAAGATACATAATATCATCAACAATGGAAAATTCCCAGGAAAAACCCAATGTTTCTGTTTACCTTGAGTACCTGGCTAACAACTTTCAAGAATAACATCATAGCATAATGAAGAGAGAGGGAACAGAGATTTTGGAAGGACAATGAAAACAGGAATACCTGTCTCTTAAATAAGACCCAAATCTATTCAATCATTTAAAATAACTTTTCCTTAAAAAGTATTTTTACATAAATCCATTGAACAAGCATCATCTGAGCTCCTAGTGCAGGCTGCACACTATCCCGGGTGTTTGATATAGAACAACACAGATCCCTGTCTTCATGGTATGTAACAGTCCTCAAAGAGATTACTAATTCATGATAGGAAAAGTGTGGGGGTGGGGGTTGGGGTGAGGGAGAATTGGCCAAAAAGAAGCCAAGATGAATCATGGACACAGCAAATATGATTTAATGAGCTATTGACAAGTTCCTAATAAGTACCAGTAAAATGGATAACATTAAGGTAAGGAAAGACTTGACTTTTTACCATAGATTATTTACTGTTTTACATAATATCACAATTAGAATATGTTTAAATTAGGTTTAAAATGTCAAAGGACCTACAGTAAGAAAGATACCACTATGTATTTCCATAAATAATAAGATTATACTCCTGAAGGGAATACAATCCAATGGGCCCATAAGTTATTCACTGATATTTATACATCTTCCTTGTGCAAACTGAATAATGTGTGTATATCTGAACAACAAAAGATTCTGAGAAGTACAAGAAATTAATGGATGGGCACACCGATGATATCCAGCCTGCAGAGATCAAAGAATAAGATCTTTGAGAAATTTTAAACACTTTAAAATTTTTTCAGCTGAAATTGTATTTCAATTACCAAATACTAACGCAAAGTAAAAATCTCAGTATCTTTCTCTGCTAAAATATCCTTTGACCACCTTCTCATGCACAAGAGTTGCCCATAACTTCCCCACCTTGGCTTCTTTCACAGTTCAAAGGTTGTTTTACTGTCTAGGAGGCTATCTAAGTAAGAGCTAACGTGCGGCAGTGTACAAATGTGTTCACGTGAGTTTCCAAACACGATGATACACTCAAGACAAGCAATAACTGTTCTCAGCAAAAATTTAAGATTCCAGATTTTTTAAATGTTTGCTATTGCACTCAACTGGCTTAATTTTCCTTAAGAATCGCTGGGAATAAAGTCTGACAATGAATACAAGGAAAAGACTTTACCACGGGGACAAATTAAGTTATTTAAGATAATGCAAATCATTACACGAAAGGAAACAGGGCAATGTTAAAACTTGACCTTGGGACTCAGAATCCTCTCAAATTGCTACTCAATCATTTATTGTGTTACCCCTGGGCAAGGTGCTTAAGCACGCTGAGCTTTCACGATAAAAGGCAGAAAACATATCTGTTAGACACAAATACAGTAAAAATTAATCTATGGAAAACTCACAAAAATAAGGCCTAGCACATAGGAATCTCAAAATAGATGATGAAATGGAACTAAGATTTGTATTGATACTGACTAGATACCTACGATGTCTTAAGTCACTTATTAAACTTCTCTGGATCTCAATTGTCACAAACTCTAATATGAAAGGGCTGTACTTGATAACTTGTATGGTACATCCAGCAATGATTCCATAATTTCTTTTAATTCTAAACTACTATTTAAAAAGGTTTTATTTTCAGAAACAGCATTTCTGTAACTAACCAACGCTGACAGGCACTCTTGCAACCACTGATGCAGAAGAACTGTGATGATGGGGTGGGAGGGCGGTGGCAGCAACGAATCAAGCATCACCCCCCAAAAACAGAAGCCATTGCGTTAAAAAGAAGCCACTACTAATTTTTTCCTGTTACTTTCACTTGTCAAATCATTGTATGTTTGTCTCTCTTGCCTAAAAACCATACTTGGCATCAGCAGCAGGAGGCAGCAGAGACCCTCTGGCTACCAGGACAGCTGCAATCACTCCAACCACAGATGGGCCAGGGAAAGGGCTGTCCATCACCCCACACAGAGAAACCAGACCACACTCTTCAGGAACAGGTGCCATGTTTCTCCACGTGGAGTCATTTTAGACCCGAGAGTTCAGGAGCAGTGCAGAAGTGAAAGTACAGTCCAGGGCTGGGAGAGCTAGAGGCCTCCACTTCAGGTTCAGGAACTAACTAGCTGTGGACTCAGAAAAAGTCCCTTTCCTTCTACAAACCTCAAATTCATCTGTAAAACAAGGAGCTTGGTCAGAATGGTCTCTAAGGACTGGCTCCTCTCCACCATGACTTGCTTGAAATAGGTCCTTAATTTTGCAGATAAAGGGAGGAATAAACCTAAACTAATGTGGAGACTTCTCCTCTCTGGCCTTGCTCCGCTCAGAGTGAAGCTTTGCCCAAAATTTTAAACTGTCAGGAGAAATAGAATGACAGCAACTTTTCGAATTATGTTCTGATACTGGTGACAACATGGGGACTTTCTTCTTCCCACAGCTGAATAAAGGACACAAGGCAGTGAGACTGTGCCTGACTTTTAGTCTGCTGGTAACAGAAGCTAATGAAGCACCAAGGGAAACCCAAACAGGCGGCCAGATGGACTGGCAGAGGAGAGGAGGCTGGCCCCAAGCGGGAGTCCTTAATTTAGATATTGATTACTTGTGGGTGTGGAGGAAAACACCAGAGGGGCTCTCCTCAAGCCTAGAAATCTTCCTACTAGGAAAGCCAAAGCTCCCACTGGATTTCTCCTCCTCACTCAGACAGACATGAGGTGAATCCTACAAACTGCTTCTGAAAGCCGTGATGTTCCACTTAACGGAGGAGTATGGAAATACCTGTTACAACAAAAGAGGACAAGAGCAAGAGACATGCTCAGACAAAAAAATCCAGATGTCACCCTCATCCACGTTGGCCTGAAATATCCTCTGCTTCTGGTTCTTTCTAACTCTTAGCTGGTGAGAATTAAAGGGAAAGCCAGCAGCTGTCCTGACTGTCATGAGGAAGAAAGATAAAGTTGCGTGCCCAGCATTCAGACTGCACAAAGCAGTGAGTCGGGAAAGAGGCTCAGCTCCCTTGAAAGGGAGCCACCTCGCCATATTTCTGAGCAGAGGACCCAACGCACCCTGAGGAGAATTCCAAGTTAACACAGAATCATATGCACTACCATGCTGAACAAATCAATAATA